AAGAGTAGTAGGGAGCTTGCCACCCAATTCATTGGCCTATAATTTGGCAATTCATCCACATTCACTCAAAAGAGTAGTAGGGAGCTTGCCACCCAATTCATTGGCCTATAATTTGGCAATTCATCAATATTCACTCAAAAGAGTAGTAGGGAGCTTGCCGCCCAATTTACTGGCCTATAATTTGGCAATTCATCCACATTCACTCAAAAGAGTAGTAGGGAGCTTGCCACCCAATTCATTGGCCTATAATTTGGCAATTCATCCACATTCACTCAACAGAGTAGTAGGGAGCTTGCCGCCCAATTCATTGGCCTATAATTTGGCAATTCATCAATATTCACGCAAGAGAGTAGTAGGGAGCTTGCCGCCCAATTTACTGGCCTATAATTGGGCAATTCATCAATATTCACTCAAAAGAGTAGTAGGGAGCTTGCTACCCAATTCATTGGCCTATAATTGGACCGGAAAAGTTATGTTATGAGTAATCGATGGGTTAGAAAGAGTTATGATTTTGTAAATGGTTAATTGTTTCGAAGGACATATGGAAGTGTTTGATAGGGGTGGTATCTGAATCGGTAGTAATTCCGCTAAATTGAAAAGAAAGTTCGTTTACTTACAGAGACTTTTTCTTTTTTTTGTTCCTAGTATTTTGCTACAGTAATTGATGTCTTCCCAAGCGTTCTTGCTCATGTTTTTAGCCAGATGGCGTGGTAGCTGTTCAGCGGATCATATCATCGTTAAAAAGATGATAAAACGTTTATAGTTACACATTATAGCAAGATTTCGAGTGTTCTGACAGCGATGGTTATTTGGAAACCTAATATAAAAGTAGCAAACAGCGAACTTAGGAAAAAGACAAATACATTCTATTCTTTGTAATAAAATTTAAAAAGCAGAAAAACAATGTGCTTGTTAGAGAATAATATACCTATATTTCAGAGATAACTTTATCCATTCAGAGAATACAAAAAACGTATTTTGATCAATGTGATCTTAATAACCGAACAACTGGCGAAAAAGGAGAAATGAGAATACCGAAAGAAAAGTAACGTGCCGCTAATTCAAAATTTGAGCGAAATTTTTTTTTCGTATTATTATACATGGTTGGATAGAACACATCGAGCTGAGTAAGAAAAAGTGGCTTTTAATGTTTTTAAAATTCTTTTAAGGAAGAAAAATTGAAAAAACTCGAAGGCTCTAAAATTTCGAAAGCTTTCAAGTTTCAAAAAACTGAAATTTTTTTTTTGGTTCTAACTTTTCGAAAGTATTTTTTTCGGATTCAGCATTAAAAACTGAGTAAGAGAATGATGCTTGATCGAGGTTGAAGCTAAAGATCTATCCAGTTTGGACGTTTTCCACTCCCCTTGTGAAAAGTTTCTAAACAATTTTGCAAACCTATCTAGTTTCTTTTATCAAGAGATGAAGCCGACCTTTTTATTTCATTATAACCGCCATTAAACGAGTTTTAAAATTACGAATTGCTTTTTTTTATTTTGGTTTGTCACCGAGAAATGTCGGTTATAATGAAATAAAAATGTCGGGTTCATCTCTTGACAAAAGAAACTAGGTAGGTTTGCAAAATTGTTTAGAAACTTTTCACAAGGGGAGTGGAAGACGTCCAAACTGGATAGATCTTTAGCTTCAACCTCGATTAAGCATCATTCTTTTACTCAGTTTTTAATGCTGAATCCGAAAAAAATACTTTCGAAAAGTTAGACCAAAAAAAAAATTTCAGTTTTTTGAAACTTGAAAGCTTTCGAAATTTTAGAGCCTTCGAGTTTTTTCAATTTTACTTACTTAAAAGAATTTTAGAAACATTAAAAACCACTTTTTCTTACTCAGCTCGATGTGTTCTATCCAACCACGTGCGAGTAAATGCAGAAACAGGTTTTCTATGATTTTGAGGCACGTTAAGTAGAATGCTTAACTAGATTCTTTCAAATTAGGATATTTGAACACATGTAATTGTTTTTCAGTAATAAACCGGAAGACGAGTTTCTGTTGAACATCCACTAGTCTAATTAATACCAAGGAATCTTTTTCGATTAAACAAACCGATGAATTTGATAAAAATATTTCTGTTTGATTTAAAAGTTTAATTTTAAACATATTCTTTATTACTATTTTGTTCATTAAAAAGTAAATATTTTCATTATTATTATCCACTGTTATGATAGCTGAAATAAAACCTAAATGCATCTCAGCTGAATTCAATTGTTTAAACATAATACATGAATCATTTGTTTTACGCGAATGCTGAATATTTGTTTCATAACGAGTATTATTATAATAAATTGTATCAAAAAATGTTATATTACCCAAACCGAATATCCCAGAGAGAAAATCAGTATATGAATGATATGTTAATTGAGATTGTTTAGGTAAATTGACCGTATTATTCACTGTTGCTTTTTTTTCATTCAATAGTTGTTCACATAAATTAGACAATAGACGAGGATATATTGGAGAATCATAATGAATAATAGATGTACGAAATAACTCAAGATTTTTGATCAATTGTTTCGAATGCTCGATGGTTCCGTGAGCCAAAGATTTCAAAATCCGGTTGATGCTTTCGAAAAAAAATGTTGAATACGTAAAAAACGGACCGATATATTGTACTGATAAATGCGCATGTTGCATCGAATGAATATTTGAACTGCAATGACGTGTTGTATATAAATTTTCAAACTCAAAAACAAATTCATTCATTAATAATTCAACTGCTGAAACATCATCTTTTGTCGTCTTATCTCCATTACCGATATTCATTGCATAAACAAATTTTAAAAAATTATTATAATATTTTGATTTTAATATAGTTTGAAACGCCGAAAAACCGAAATGGACGATAGCTTTAAATTCACTAGCTTTATAGCTACTATAAATAGCTATACGACGTGGGCGACGAGAAGTTGTATTTGGCATTCGTAAATTATCTAACAAAAGTTGAAGCTTGTCTAATTTTGAACGTATTGACCATGGTTGCATACGATACTTTACATCTAACCAAAGTGTTAATAGTTTTCTCATAACACCTTCATAACACGTGTGAAGATCGTCAAGCAACCAAGACTGGCCTACATCAAAATGTTTAAGACGACGAAACTCACAAAATGCTACAATAACGAGAACAATCATTGTTAATCTAACATGGCTGCTAAAATAATTCTTAATAACAAAGTAGAATCCAAGAGAAAGAGTCTGCAAGGGAAAGGCTATATAGGATGGATTCTTTTTTTGTGGAATCCTGAATTAATCGAAAAAGAGTAAGATGCAAATTCTGTTGAGGAAAAATGCTTTCTGAGTAGTGTTCTGGCAGAACAAGTGGGAGGATTGCTTTTCGAGGTTCAAAGCCAAACCACCTTTAGCCGGGGATCACTTCTCTCCATCCGTTTCTAGCGCCTGAGGGGACTACGGACGCAAAACTTATTATTCATTTTCTCTCGCTCTTTTAACTCATATATGATTCAATATGTTTGAATAAAAAAATATACCGTTTTTAAACAGACAATATTTAAAAATTCTATTACTTAATGAACAAAAGTCCAAAAACTTGGATTCATAAGTGGCTTTAAATGATAAATCCCAAAATCATATCGAAAACAAAAGTGATTTTTTGATTATGTTTATTGCTTTCTTCTTATTCCCGCAAAATCTCTTTTGAGAATTCCACGAGGCACTCATAGAAGATCTTTTCTTTTTGATGATTGATGAGCCTTGATACGCGATAGGCTTGACGAAACAAGGAAGCTAATTAAGCTTCTGACCCATCCTGTAAAGTTTTGAAATAAGAAAAACCTAAAATTGTCATTTCAACAGTATTGCAGGAGACAGGATTCGAACCTGTGCCTTCAACCGTTAAGCTGCACTCTTCCACTGAGTTACTCCTGCGTCAATACTGCTTACTGCGACGTTCCTGTAGGAAAGGGATTAATAACCAGATGCAAAGAAGACTTATTAGACAGTCGATTTCTGAAAAAACGAAGAGAATTCTTTCCATAAAGCATAAGAGAGGCAAACATCAGAACATTACAACTCTACTTTACCTAAATGTCCTTTTTCATCGGTCAAATTTTCTTTTCTCATTTTAGCGAGAATTTCATCATGCGTTTGATTGGTACGTAAAGTAGGTGTTTGTTCGTATGGATAGACACGTAATGGTGGTTGACGTTTTAATACTTTCTGGCGAATTTCTAAAAGAGAAAATGGCATTAACATACAATGCTGTTGCTGGGATTTAGATCTTTACTGAATAAACTATATTGTGTCAATTTATTAAAATGAAACAGATCACCCCTTGTATAACAAACACCACAGCCATATTCAGCCATATAGGATTTCACATTTTCCATTTTGCATTGGGATGGTTTGTCATTACAAGAGGCTATTGTGTATAAGTATAATTTTGTTGTCCGCCCTAATTCCGGTATATAATAGTCACATCCTACTTCGAGCTCCACTAATTCAGCTACCAGAATTCGAGCTGATGCTTGAATTTGTTTAGTCGTGGGAAGTTTACCAGTGGGCCAAATTAGTGGTAACACGATGTTTTTTAACATAAATCGCGCTTTTATTGGTAATTCATTCAAAACTAACATAAATGGCCATATTCCAACTCCTAAGCAAAAAGTAGTAAAAATAAGAGTTGAAATACTGTTCGTTGACGATTATCTGAGGACAATAACTGGAAGTTCTTTCTTTCCTTTTGGAACGTACTATTTTATTCTCAAATGCTACTTTAAAGCATTCGTGGCTATTCTAGATTTAAAATAGTTACTACGCTACCTTTAAGAAGTTCAACACCATCAGAATTTAATAACAGTGTTGCACATGAATCGGGACAAGATTTAAGTATTTTAGCATAATGTGTGTGCGAATAATTATTGTCAATGTCGTTACGTGCTGCACATATTTTTGTGTACGTATTACGCATTAATAATATTTGTTGTATTTGGCGTTGAATCGATGAGTAATAAAATATTGTTGTATCATTTTTTCCACATGAACATTTCATCTTATCCACTGTTTCACATAAATTACAATAATAATAAGTTTGATAAACACAATTCAAATTACGATCGGATAATGTATATCTATTCGAAACATATCAGAAAAATGTGCTGTATAAATAATAATACAGTATATTAAAAAACTTACTTAATTGCATCCCAACTATGAGGAACATTTTGGTAGTATGGAGATATATTCTTCAACCTAAGCATTTTGCATACGAAATTCATTGTCGTGTTGGTAATACCACATCGTGCTTTAAAAATCATCAAGGCCGAAGCCCAGTCTTTCTTTGATGGTACATCTTGTAATATGTCTTAGAATAAAAAAAGCGAAGTCAAACATCTAATTCAACACAAATAAAAATCTTCATACCGACACTATCCATATCGTTACAAAAACCAAAAACAATATCAGCTAACTGAGATGGAAAACCATCATCATTGTCAGATTCTTCAGCTTCACTTTTGTCGTCTAAAGAAGAGAGTCATCGTTAACCGGAGCAACAGAATAACTTTGTTTTTTACTCGTTAACCTTCGTACTCATCAACAGCACCTCCAACGATCACTGCAACCACACTGTCATTCATTGTCTGACCTAGAACACAAATTATGATTAAAGCAGTTAGAAGTCTGTAATTGCATAAGCTAAGGACAGCCTTACCGTTAGCATATTTGAAATCAACTGCTGTTACTGTTGTGCGTCTTCGTTCAACAATGCGCTTACGTTTAGCGGTTCCTCTTCGAGGCATTTCTAGTGTAAGTATTATCTAAAGCATTTTACTCTAAAAGATCGATGGACGCAGTGCAAAATGCTCAGCTTCCCATGCCGTCTGCTCATAACAGCGTGATCACATACCTTGACAAATCTCCAAAAAAACGGCTAAACAATTTCGAGCTTAAATACGATATTCTGTTGTGACGTTTAAAGCTGCAAGCATAAGAATGACTTTGATTTTTCCGCACGATTATCGGAATCTCTGATATAAACTGAAAAAGCTTGCTAATAGTCAGTAGGGGTGGCACTTTACCTTTACTTTACTTTTAACTAGTAACGAAATTAGTTACTCGTCACCAGTAAAGTAACGGTTTTTCGTTGCTTTCTGGAGGAGTAACGAAGTTAGTTACTCGTTACTCGTTACTAGTAATTAAGTGACAAAATTAGTTACTCGTTACTAGTAACGAAGTAACTAACTTCGTTACTTTACCTGGTAAAGTAACGCCGAGTAACTAGTAACGTGCCACCCCTAATAGCCAGGACTAACTAAATTTTATATTTCGGCACGTGGAAAAACCTAGAATTGCCGTTTCAACAGTATTGTAGGAGACAGGAATCGAACCTGTGCCTTCAACCGTTAAGCTGCACTCTTCCACTGAGTTACTCCTGCGTCAATACTGCTTACTGCGACGTTTGTGTGACAAGCAATGCAAGCATACTACAACTCTACAAATTTAACACTTATACAAAACGAGATCAATGAAAAACTTATCAGACCTGTTTCATCAGCAAAAAAGATAATTATTGTTCAATCTTCCAGCCTGTTAATGTCTAAACAGAAGACAAGTTATTTCAGTGTTATATTAAAAGAGATATCATGTCATCATGAATCATACGCACAAACAGTTACACAAAAATAACAAAAAAGTAGCAGAAATATGTGATAAATGTTAATAAAGCTAGTATTAATATGGCAGGCGTAGCAGAAGATAATCAGCAAAGGAGAAAGAAAAGCAATTAATGAGCATTTGGAAGAGTTATAGTGGACGTACTGACGAAAGAAACAAAATATTGTCACTAGTATATGTTAATCGTAAATGTTGAATGAATAACAAGCTTGAGATAGTTCACACGGATATAGTTACTTATTTCTATTCAGTTTCATTTTGTTCTTCGTTCATATCATCAAGTGTTCTCTTGTTCGTTGTTGTTGCTGGTTCAGATAACAATGCATCCAATTTTCTTTTAATACCCTGTTTCATATTTCTACATTTCGTTGAAATTTGTGCATTAAAAGTGGAACGTATTAATGTTGCTAAACCGTGATTATCTTTGACATATTCTAGAACATAGAACGTTAACCTAAGTGCACTCGTTATTTTTGCAATAACTCAACAGCGATAAGCGCTAGAAACTTGCGGCTTTCAGCAATCGGAAGTAGATACTTGAGGCTAACTTTACCTGAGCCAAAACCAGTTTGGAAAAGATTCAGAAAACTGGGTTTTCCGAGAACCTTTGAAAAACCAGCTTGGATTTCCGAAAACAAAAATAGCAATCCATTGATTTTTTTCATAGGTAAATAGATCACAGTGTCTTCTACAAACTTAGATCTAAACGACCTCTGGCTTTCGCTCGGTTTTTGAAGGGCCACGGTTTTCCTCCGAGCTATATGACTCCCATTACATTAGGTCTGGGAACGGTAAAAACACAAGGAAACATAGGTTATCGACTATGCTGAATCTCGTGGCAACATTTATTTTTCAAAAAAGTTTCAAAAACCTAGTGAAAACGTATATTAGGTGAAATATCCCATTTTTGCTTATTTTTGAGTAAAATCAAAAAATTCATAACCCAGTCAGAATCCAATCAAATTATGTCAGAATATCGACATGTATTCTGTTTTACCTTCTCAATACTATAAAGTTCAATAAAAGCTTTAAAAATCACCAGAAGATACTTTGGTTTTTAAAAAGGTTTTCTAGAAATCTTCCGAAGTACAAGAATGTTTTGCTGGGTTATGAATTTTTTGATTTTACTCAAAAATAAGCAAAAATGGGATATTTCACCTAATATACGTTTTCACTAGGTTTTTGAAACTTTTTTGAAAAATAAATGTTGCCACG